TATATTACAAATAAATTAATTATTTCTACGAAATATGTCGTATTTTATTCCAGGATAGTATTTAGTGTCACGTAAGCAAGTTATTTTCATAAGAAAACCCTATTTCTAGTTTTCTTTGTAATTATTAATCGAATTTTTCTATTTGCGGTATGTTGGGTTGCCTATATTGTGTATTACAAATTGTAGTGTAATTGTAAAATGAAAATATATAAATTAGCAACCCTAACTGCGCTTATATAGAAGAAATATTACTTAAAGATGAAAATTCATCAATCTACTACTTATCAAACCAAAATAATAGCTCCATTGTAGCTTTTGTATAAAATTGTCCTGGCGCCTCCACCAAAATTTTTAATTAAATTTTCTATTACTAATAAATAGTGTCCGACCGAAAGTTCGGTTTCGGTTTCGGTCGAGTTTCGGCAAAAAAACGAGTTTCGGTTTGTTTCGGTTTCGGCGGTTTTATTGTATTATAACAAATAAAAGAAATTTTTTTGGAGTAAAAAAAGAAAATTAAATTACGATGCATTTTATCAAGTAGGTAACATTTAATTTTGGGTACGTAGTTATATTTTCGGAAAAAAACAATGTATTATGCCTAAAAACGAAAAATCCTGCCGATTTTTATTTTTTAATGCATCGGGTTTTTACTATGTAAAAGCAACAAATTTTCACTTCATATTGACACATTATACATTAATACTTTACATTCGTATGTGTAAAAGCGATTTGGATCTTTTTATCTCTAATTAAATAGAAATGTATACGTAAATATAACAAAAACGTGTTGTAAAAGAATCGGTTCAAATGCATCATCGATTTTACAAGAAAATGCTTCGTCAGACATTTTTTTCATCTTAACCACAGTTCCACGGTTTTATGTTCAGGTCAATGATAGCAATAATATCCGTAGTACTATGACGATTTGTGGAAATAAATACAAAAAATTTATGTTACATTACATCTGAAATGTATTTTCGTCATAGCTGCATCGAAATTCCCGCATCATCATTAAAATTGCGATTGTATGAGTTATGACGTCAAAAAGAGGATCTAGTTACTTTTTCCATAACGTATAATCCTTCCGTCTAACGTATAATCCGCATTTACTTCCGAAAAGATTATAAAAAATACTCACGTAAACAATACATGGATGTAATGTCAATGAACAATGCATGAATCATTGCGTCCAACAATGGTGCTTCATTCGTTTGTACGTAGGTACTACAAAATGGGAGGAGGCGGGGCAACTTATTGAAACAAACAGTTCAACAATGGTGTTTCATTTTTTATAACAATTGAAAATGGACAAGCGACATGGGACAAACAATCCAACAATGGCGTTTCAATTGTTTCTATGTATCTGTGCCGTGTAATACGATAACAATTGAAATTGGGCTGAGCAAATACAACAATGGTGCTTCGTTTGTTTTTATGTATGTAAATACTACAGTAATAATTAAATACATGGGTAAAGGAGAGGCAGAAGACAATCCAACAAAGGTGTTTCACTTGTTTATATGCAAGTACTGCAATATTTATAAAAAAACAAAGGTGTGAAATGGCTTTACAGTGAAATAGGAGAGACGTAGGTTGGTAGGACACCTTCTCAGACATGAAGGGCTACTTAAAGGCATATTGGAAGCAGCAGAAACAGGAGTTAAGAGGGATAGAGGTGGATTTTATTAAATTACTGTCACAAATAGCTAAGGATGTGGGACGTTGTAGTTTTAAGAAAATGCAAAGATTAGCTCAGGATAGGAAAGAGGAATGATGATAATGGTGTGTTGTACGATGTGACATTTTTGAATAACGAATATAATTATGAACATATATAAGATAGTTTACATTTTTCATATTGTAATTACATTAATAGTTATCAACTATTCATGGAAATCTTCGAAACTGATAACCGAATGAGTTTTAGTTTTTGTTTCATGAATAAGTGTAACTCTGAAAGGATACAAATAAAATGTACGAAGCGGTAGAATTTTTCATTTCGTCATCACTTTTCTTACTCTTCTTTAAAACATCCTGGTTTAGTCATACGTATTAAAGTTACAATTTTATTGAGAAACCAATGTCTCTATTCTATCTATTCAATCGACTTTATTATCTTTAAAATCTTATCATTATTATTTAACTTATACCGATATTTCATTTAAAAAGGGTTCGTCGTCTAACCTATCATTGAAATAATCCAAATACTTCGGTAATAAACAGCGGAATTGATTTGAATGATATTAGATAAGAAGTTCAAAATTAAATAGTAAAAGTGGAGTATTATAACTTTTAAGAACCTTAACAAGTATTTTATCTAAATAGCAGTTTTACAACGCATCGTTGAAGTTTTTTTACTGAGGCAAAGTTAACGTCGTGAAAGTTTGATTTTTTTTAAATCGACTTTTTAATTAAGGCGTGATTGGTTAACAAATTACCCTTTAAATGCCCTTTCCGAAAATATAAAGTTGTTCCAGTTGTATTTTTTAATATTAATAACTTTGACGGTAATTTATAAACCTATCATACCTATCTTAATTGAAAAGTCAATTAAAAGTAAATAAAACTCCACCTTACTATAGTTTTTTTTTTTCTGATACCAAAAAAAATTGGCTCAGTTTTGAAAGTCTACTAAAATCTACAATACCTATATAAATAATCTACAACCCTAGAACCACAAAATGGTGCCAAAATTATTCGCGACAATAAAAGAGCAATTTGCTTAATTAGTTATATTAAGTAGTATTAGTTGTTGCACCCTGAAACAAATGCTTCATCGTCTGTTGTGAATGACAAGGAAAGAACACTTTAATTTGTTGGCTCGATTGTTATGTGAAACAAATGCTTCGTCGGCTATTGTTGTTCACGACAATGAAAAAGTACTATGATTTAGTTAGTTATTTTAAGTAGGCATTATCATTTGTTTCAACCTGAAACAAATGCTTCATCGGTTATTATTCGCGGCAAAGAAAGAGCAATTTGATCGGTTGGTTATTGTAAGTGGTATTAGTTTTAGAAACCTGAAACAAATGTTTCGTCGGCTTTTGTTCGTGACAGTGAAAGAGCATTTGATTGATTAATATCATTAAATAGTACTAATTGTTGCAACTTCAAACAAATGCTTCATCGACTATTATTGTTCACAACAATGAAAGAGCGCATTAATTAGTTGGTTATTTTAAGTAGTATTGCTCCAACCTGAAACAAATGCTTCATCGGCTATTGTTGTTCATGACAACGATAGAACAATTTGACTACTTGGTTATGCTCATTTGTTGCAACTTGTTCATGACAGTCGAAAAGCAGTATCGATTAATTGTTGCAACCTGAAACGAATGCTTCATCGGCTGTTGTTCACGGCAATCAAAGAGCACTAGATTGGTTAGTTATTTTAAGTCGTACCTATTAATTGTTACAACCTGAAACAAATGCTTCATCGGCTGTTGTTTACGACAATGAAAGAGCTTTTTCATAAGTCGGCTACGGCTACTTTAAGTGGTTTTAATTGTTCCATCTGAAGCAAAAGCATCGCTTGCTCCTGTTTGAAACAACGAAAGAACTCTTGAATGGTTAGTTATTTTGATATTCACATGTTGCAAATTTTGAAACAAGTGTTTCGTCGGCGTCAGTTCGAAACAATTTCAAAACGTCAAAACTTAAAGCGTTACAGAATTTCATGACGAATCTCTCAATGATTTAACAGTAGGTAAGTGTTGCGAAAAGAAAGGTACACCTCGGGCATCCTACCTGAACGTACTATACAACACAGGTGATAGCGGCATAATAAGTAGGCAGCGTAGGTTTGTAATAGTGCAGAGAACCGACAAACGACAACCTGCATTCATTATTTTAAAGTCATACAAGTAAAGGTAGTGTCGCTAAGACTGCCGTCCTAACAACAACACGCACGGACGACTTTTCTTTTACTGTCGCGTTAAGAGCGTCGTCGTCTGTCTTTTGTTTTTTCGCGAGGTTTTCCAACTGGAATTTTCACGAAAAGGCTTCAGCGGTGGTATCGGTTATACGGGGCGGACGTACGTACGGTGGTGAGTGACACAAAACACAGGGAGAAGAAGCGAGAAGGAAAGATATTTTTGACAAGCGGGAAACAAATTTATCTAGACGTGAGTATTAAAAATAAAATAGCAAAATTAAATTTTTTATTTTATTTAATTCTGCCGGTGATTGTTTCATTTGTTTATTTATTTATTAGCCGGTCTATTGCCCACGTCATATCATCTTTTTCGCATAATAAACAACTTCTGGCAAGTTTTTGACCTAGGCTTCGCGTTCTCGACCGAAAAATATTCGAATAATTTTAATAATTTATTCATCGTCAATTTGACACTACAAAACGTACGTACGGGCAGATTAATGTTCAATATTGAAACGTGATAGCTTCTTTCACTCCTCCTCCTCGTCTTTGGGATTTTTTCTTTCAGTTAGCATTACACGATCGTCGAAAAATTTCTCTTTAATTTAAAACTCACTTTCACACAGAGAGAAGACACCAATGAACGAAAGAATTTTTATCCTCATGTGATTAATTAAGACACGTATGGATAGATACTGAGCACTTCTTCTGATATTTTAATCGGTTATGTAATAATACACTTACATGTGTAATTAACAAATTAATTAAGTAGATATTAATTTGTTTTGTTAATTGTACATGTAACAGCAAATTGAAAAATTAATCAGAAGTTTTTATATAACCAAAGTATATGTACACGGAGAAAACTAAATGCAAAAATTACAATGTTCGATTGTAAATGATTGAATTTGCCGCAGAAATACTAGAATTTATTGGGTAACTTGTAATAATGTCAATTTTGACATGTTTCTTTAAAAATTATTTCAAGTTTCTTAATTACTACAATTAAATTTATAAAATCAACTAAAATAAACATTAAATTTATTTTTGCTGGGATTTTATTTTTACAAATTCGGGTCCAAATTTTAATTTTTATTATTGTCGCTTACTAAGCAACGGGCTAGTGTGGCTAAATATCGCTTTAATATTAAGGTTAATTTTCGTTTTTCATTTTCTCCGTGTACATACATATATAGCAAAATGTAAAATCCTATTAATCCATTTTTCTCATAATTTAATTTTTTAATTTGTTTTTCACCTACAAGAGAAAACTTGTGTTAGGAGAAACTCTCTCAGTTGTAGGTAACTGTTAACACCTTAAATTTCAAAAAATTATTTTTTGGGTTCCTGATTATCAGGTTCATTGAACGACACCCTACATGATATATTTACGACGGCTTTTTTCATAATTATTTAGCTTGCCCCCTTTAAACAATTTTCCTATAAATATTTGAAATGTTCATAATAACTAGAAAATATCTATGTTTTATTGCTATGAAAAGTTTCAAATTTCTATGTTTAATATGTTCGAATAAAAATGACAGTTACGAATGGACGAAAGGATTGTGTGATTGATGTGATTTTGCAAGGGTTACATTTTTCATACAGAGACACGAAATTCTAAGTACCTACTTCTTTTTGTTTATGACACAATTTC